AGTGATTTCGTGAACAGGCATGGATCGTTGAGATGGCTGGATTTGTCAAAAATCTGGATCAGAAGCATCTTGTGACTATTGGACTCGAGGGCTTCTATGGTGTGGAAAAAACTGGAAGCTTTGGAGTGAACCCCGGGAAATGGGCTGCATCACTTGGAGTGGACTTCATTGAGAACTCGGCTATTGACAACATCGATTTTACTTCTGTTCATGCTTACCCCCATAGTTGGTTAGTCAAGCAGAATAAATTTGTTCTGAACCAGATACATTGTCTCATATTCTCATGCAGTGTAAACAGAAATACTTATGTGTTTATCACTATTTCCTTATTGATTCTGTTAAACCATGTTGTGTTGCAGGATTCAAGGTATAAATTCAGACGCGAAAGTAGAGTTTCTATCTCATTGGGTTGATTCTCACATTAGTGAAGCTGAAAAGATCCTTAAAAAGCCAGTTCTCTTCACAGAAGTCGGGTTTCCCTCAAGTACGCAAAAGGAAGGATTACATGACAGAAATATTTATCTGAAAATAGTTTATGACAAGATTTATGAGTCAGCAAAGAAGAGGAAAGCTGGTGCAGGCGCCTTAGTTTGGCAGTTGTTGGTGGAAGGAATGGAGCGATATGGTGACAAGTTCTCGTTTATAGCGTGGAAGCATCCCTCTACGTATAAACTGATAGTACAGCAATCTTGCAGGCTACTCAATACATCTTCTCAAGGCGTCTCACATAGAAAACTCAATCGAAAAGATCATTGTTTAGCTAATGCATCTTGATAGTTGATTCATCTTCCTTGGGGAGACGGATAAACGAACGATGAAAGTTACCTCTAGAAATAGCCAGTCTTGATTGATTTTTTCTGACATTGATCAATGGTATGTAAAAGAAGCAACTCTGAGCAAGTGTTAGCTGGAGGAGTGCAACAATCAGCTCATTTTATCAGGTACATAAACTCAGGTTTCTGTTGATGTATATTTTATCTCGTTTGTACATATTACAATAGTTCTCCCTACTCTTTTGTTTTATAGTGCCGGGTCTATTTACTGGTTATTGCTATTGTTTTCGTCTATTTTCTGGCTTTTATGTTGCTGTTATTATTCCTTTGGTTTCTGTTGATGGAACTGATATATTGTCTCTTCTCGTTTTCTTGAGCCGAGAGTCTTCCGGAAACAACCTTTCTACCCCTCGAGGTAGGAGTAAGGTCTGCGTACACACTACCTTCCCCAGACCCCACTAGTGGGATTTTACTGGGTCGTTGCTGTTGTGGTGGTACATATTACAATAGCAAAAGCATGTAAGTGGTTAATTCCATTTCAATTGAAATAATAAGTGATTTTTTTCTGTAACATCACAAGTCATGTGTCATCAATTCTGTACATCATTTGGCACTTAATGTTCTCCACGACAGAAGTACATGACATGTGGTAGGGAGCGCTTCTCCCTTTAATGGGCTATACACCTTATACGGCGCGAATCTGGAATAGTAATTCAGATGCAGGATGCATAAAGCCAAAAAAAAAAAAAGGAGAAAAAACAACTGCAAGAGGTGAAGAGGTCTTCTTATAAGAGCAGTCCAACTCATAGTTTAGCCTTGTATTAAGATAATAATGCTATTTATCAATTGATAATGTCTTACTAAATTCATTGTGTTAGAGCAATATATGCATAATTAATATAACACACTGAACTGTGTACAACATCATAGGTGTTTACCCGTAAAATGGTCAGTTGAATTTATATGCGGTTTATAGACAAGCGAATCGATTTGATACCAAAATGATAAATAAATTAAATAAGAATATAAGACTTAACGTTGAATCGAAATGAGACAGCAGAGATCTTGGTTCCGGGAGCAGAGCTTCCAGAGACAGATTTATAAGCAAGAAGATAAAGTGTTATTGAGCTTTGAGCAGTATATAGCATAAGTTTGTCAGAAAATTCGTCTCCTTACAATGGCTGTTGAACTCATTATTTATATTTGCATCTAGGAAACAAGGTCTTAGGATCAAGCCCCTCTTAAATGACAATTATGGGAGCCATTGAAAAATATGTAACAACAATCTATGAATGCCATATTCTTTGTAACGGCCTATGTGCTTAATGTTATAAAATATTCCCCATTGAATGTCACTGGATGACCGGTATTTATTTGTCTGTATGAGCAACATTTCTTCCGGGACAACCAAGATTGTTGTCTCCGGGCTTGATTTCCACCCGTCTTGCTTTCCATCTGTCTCTGATTTCACGTGTCACTCTATTATACGAACATTTAATATGAACCAATTTTACCCTATTGTCAGGAGTAATATGAATTAATATTTGATTTGGCAAAGATAATATCTACTTTTGACATATAATCTCCTCTATTTGTTGTTATAAAAAATGGAAGGATCCTTAAATAGGGGATTAGAGCTTCTGTAATTTCAACGGTGTAATACGACATGTGTTTATGTAAAAATACACAAACTTTTAAAGCTAGACATGCAAATACAATTATTACAAAGCAACATTTTTGAAGGAGTTATATGCTAATAGAAAATATAGAGAAAATTTTACAATTTACGTTCTTATTTTGTACAATATCGGTTTTGATGAGCTTAAATGAAATGATATAATCGGTGAGGATTCGTATAGCTCACCCCAACTTGAGAATTGAGACAATATTATTGGCGTAAAATTTTCGAAAAATCAGTTCACACTGTAAGGCCCCCCCAAGAAAAAAGAAATGCGATACCGGCTGTGATCACATACTTGACACAAATCCGTCATTTTTATTCTTCAGCTTAAACGGGACAAAAATAGCTATTTGGCACTCTAGGGAGTTATCCTAAATACTACTATTAGACCAATGTTAATGTTTATTAGGATAGGTTTCTTATATTACATTCTTACGGATATTGCCTTTTTTCAAACCCTGTGTAAATGCGTAATATTTTGTGCATCTGCATGTCCTTTTTCTCCTATTAGCCAATTAGGGACGGAGCTAGAGCTTCAGTAACGGATTCGGCTGAACCTAGTAGCTTTAATGCAAAATGTATATTTGTCTTAAGAAATCTATTGAATAAGTACAAATTCTTATTTTAGAACCCAATAACATAAAAGGCTAGAACCCCGAACCCAGTATCTTCAAATTCCGGCTCCGTCTCTATAGACCTACACTCTGGAATTGCTCTTTTAAAACAGCATTAATTTCCATTTATTGCTCCAAACAATTATAGTAAGGCCATGTCTTGGGTTGTTCAATAGTGACTCATCATCTTGTTATAGTCTTAAATGTTGACGACTTTGTCCTGCACTATCAATGAATAATGCTTCATAAATGAGTTCAATATTTCAATTGGGTAGCTAGTGTGGCAAAGAAATGATCTCTTGTCACCATATATAATTTGAATAAAAAAAATTGATTCTATAAAGATTTTTATATTTATTTTGCCGTTTTCCTCTGTTTTTTTTTGTTGTGTAAAAAGAATTATTATATTTACACGACCAAATTACTTGAAACGTAATTACAGGTTAACTTTTATGATAAACATCAAGTAGTAACTTCATAAAATGATAATTGATTAACTATAACATATTAAAGTATACTTGTTGCAACAAATTTATGCAGATAAAAATAAAACTGCAATCACAAACAACTATAAAGAAAAAAAATTATTTTATTGATAAACATTGTAGGTTGCAACTCTATTTATCCCTTGATTCTTCCCTCCGATTTATACTACGTGATTCGAGGGCCTTGGTGTCGTATTTCTCGAATGTAGGACTTTAAGCAAGACATATTTGACATGTCTTTGATCTCCTAATATATTCCAAGAGTTTCATGGAATTTCGGAGATCTCATATGTGATCTCTTTGTGCATATTCCGAGAGTTTATGGAATTTGATGAGATCCTCTTTGAAGGACATATGTAACCTTATTTATAGTCATGAATTAGGATTTTGGGTGGAGTAGCCTCCAAGTAACCCTAATAGACTCCTAATATTTCACGAGTTGTCTTGAATTTAGGATTTATCTTGATCTGTTGAAATTTCAGTGTATACAACAGTGATAGTGAAAAAAATTATATATCGTTATAGCCTGTATGGCCAAGCTGCAAAAATTAACTTATTTTGATAAGTGTTTTTTCTCAAGAGTTCTTTTCTCAAAAGTACTTTTGGTTAGAAGCAGTTTGTGTTTGACTAATTAATTTGAAAAACACTTATGAATAACAATTAGTGTTCGGCCAAGTTTTTAAAACTGCTTCTAAGTGCATTTTTTTCAAAAGTGATTTTCAAAAAAGTACTTTTAGAGAGAAACTATTTTTTTCTGCTTCTCTTCAAAAGTTCTTTTTTTCCTTCCAAAAGCTTGGCCAAACACCTCAATTTTTGAAAAAAATATACTTTTGACTAAAAAAAAAAGCGTTTTGACCCCAAAAAAGCTTGATCAAACAGGCTATAATTTGGATAACTTGGATCCTTTATTGTTTACATAGAAAAAGAACAATAAAGAGTTAATTTCTCAAATGGTCTACACGTACTAATTACTATTACCTATAGACTATGTTATTAAATTTTTTTGTTGTTGGTTTTTCATCCGGTTTCGGTATCCACATTAGGATCCGATTAAATAAAGATTCGCGCCGGAAAATTTCAAATTGGGGTAAAACACTCCCTAACAAAGACGACTCCATACCTAGAGACTCGAACCCGAGACCTCTGGTTAAGAAAGAATGAGTACTTATCCCTCAAGATTACAATGACAGTATAAAGAGCAATTAAAACTCTTTCCAAAAAATCAGATTACGTGGATCATCATGTGCAGAATATATTTCCTAATTAGTAAACGTATCTTAGATGACAACTACTTAATTATTTTATGTGAAATATGCCATCTCTCCCCAACCCCACTTCACATGTTCCCTAAGTCAACCATGATATAATATATGTTTTTTTTCTATCAAAAAATAACAAAAACCATCTCTTTCTTTCAATACATTTTCCAAGAAGAAGAAGAAGAGAAATGGAAGGAGAGATCTACAATTTCATAATAGTATGGGCTATTGTTTTAGCAAGTTTATGTTATTCTCACACCATTGTCAAATTCTTTCCCAAAGGCAAATCAAGATTTCTTGCTATAATTCCCATTGTTTGTCTATTTTTCATTCTTCCTCTTTATCTCACTTCCATTAATCTTGGTGGCACTACTTCTTTCTTCATTGCATGGCTAGCCAATTTCAAGCTTCTTCTTTTTGCTTTTGGTCAAGGTCCTTTGTCATCAACCCCACCTTTGCCACTTTCAACATTCATTCCCTTGGCTTGTTTGCCTATAAAGTTTCAAAAGTATTCAACTAGTGATGTTGAAACCACCAAGAAGAGAACAAGGTCAACTTTGAATCATGTAACTAAGTTTGCACTTTTAGCCATTTTGATAAGGGTGTATAGCTATAAAGACTATTTGCATCCTAAAATCATTCTTTTCCTCTATTGCCTACACATTTACTTCATGCTAGAGATCATATTGACCATGGTTAGTACCATGGTTCGTGTCGTGACTCGAGTCGAGCTCGAGCCACCCTTTGATGAGCCTTACTTGGCTAGCTCACTTCAAGATTTCTGGGGTAAGAGGTGGAACCTCATGGTAACCAATATACTTCGTCCGACCGTTTACGATCCTGTACGGTCTATAATGTTAGACCGGATCCCGAGGAAGTGGGCCCCACTTCCTGCTGTTCTCGCGACGTTCTTCGTCTCGGGGCTAATGCATGAAGTGATTTTCTACTACATTGGAAGATTGAAGCCTAGTGGTGAAGTCATGATCTTCTTTCTCATTCATGGATTGGCTTTGGCTCTTGAAATTGTGATCAAGAAAGTGTTGAATGGCAGAATTTGGATTCCTAGAATTATCTCAGGACCATTAGCACTAGCTTTTATAATTTTCACCAGCTTTTGGTTGTTCTTTCCACCATTTTTGAGGGGTGAAACAGAGCTTAAAGCATGTACTGAATCTCTAGCTTTCTTAGAATTCCTCAAGCATGGCAAACTAGTTAGTCCAACTAATATCACATGTCCACTCTTGTAAGATCTTGAATTTTTTTTTACATATTTGACCGCTCGACCAATAATATTTACAGCCCCTAGCTAATAGATGTACATTATACACAAATAATGTATATATAAATTTGTCTCTTCTCGTTTTTTTTGAGCCGAGAGTCTATCAGAAACATCCTGGCTATTCCCTCGGGGTAGGGGTAAGGTCTGCGTACATACTACTCTCCCCAGTCCCTACTTGTGATATTTTACTGGGTCGTTATTGTTGTTGTTGTTTGAACGGATGACTATTCAAGTTAATTTATCAGATTTTTATTCACAATGGACCTTGTCTAGCTAATTTTCACATGTACAATTGTTCTTCTCCTTTAATACCAAGGTTGAATGAGTTATCGGTGGCGGAGGCAGGATCTCCACGAAGGGGGTTCAAAAAAAAAATTGTATCTAGTGGGAATTAAACTCATGACCTTATGTAGATTTTGAACCCCCTTGACCACTAAACTACACTTTTGGATTGTGTTAAGGGGGTTCAAAACTTAATATATAGAGGTAAAAAATAAATTTTGCCTTATATATACAGTGTATTTTTTCGGCGAAGGGGGTTCAGGTGAACCTCTTGCGCCCCCCTAAATCCGCCCCTGTGAGTTATGATATAATTAATTTGTATGCCATGTGAAATTTCCTACTGTTCAAACATCTATGTGTCTTGTACTACTACTGTCATTGAATTTTAAGATCACTTTCGTGATAAAACTAAGAGCCCGTTTGGACATAAGATTTTTTTCATTTTTTTTTAAGAATTTCATTTTTTTTCTCGAAATCTGTGTTTGGCCACTTGAAGATGAATTTTGGAATTTTTCGAAAACTTGAAAAACTCCAAAAAACTATTTTTCAAAATTTTCACTTAGATCACTCACTAAAATTAAAAAACAACTCAAAATTATATTCATGTCCAAATACAACTCAAATTCTCAAATACCGAAAAAAATTTCACTTTTTTTTTTTTTTTTTTTTGCAAACGCCCACTAATTTTGTCTTTGTCAAAAGCTAACATACAATGTATACGGACATGATAACTTATGATCAAGGAGATCTGATTTCTTAAATCAAATATTTAAAATTCAACCATAAGTAACTCCAAGATAAGATTAATAACTTGTTACAACATTTTATTAAATTGCTTTAAAATTCTAGATTTACCTCTCTCCACATTGCAAATAATTGACCGTAAGTCTTCGATTAAATGTAAATGGATCTCGTCCGTCTTGTCATATGTCGTTCTTGAAAAGTAACAGTATAACAATAAGTCTTAACTATGACCGCTTATGAATTCATAACACATATAACACATTTAAAACTATGATCAAATAAATATTCCTTCAAAATTCAAATATGTTTAATTATTTGCATTTATAGGATTTAATACATCATCCAGGGATAATACAAAAAAGAGAAGACTAATTGACACCAACCTATAGTGACAATAATACATTTATTATAAAAGGAGAATGTTCATATATTATGTATTTTAAATAATTTATTCAAATAATGACACATGGAAAATATATTATAACGCACATCTTATGCTCTTGATTTTGACCCCGTCAAAGTCAAATTCGCATTATTCTTCTAAAGTAAGCCAAGGTTAAGAGACTTTTTTTTTTCGTTTTTCTTTTTCTTTTAATTATAAATTATTTAAGTTACACGCTACTCTTTCCCATGATGTTGACAGACATTTAGGAGCCATTTGGCCAAACACAATTTTTCATTTTTTTAATTTTTAATTTTATTTTTTCCAAAATCAGTGTTTGGCCATGAAATTTTCCATTTTCACTTAAAGATGAATTTCGGAAGTTTTGAAAATTTGGAAAACTCTAAATTGTTCAGATCTTTCACTTCAAATCACTCACAAAACTTCAAAAACAGCCCAAAATTGTATTTATGTCCAAAAACAACTATATTTTTCAAATACCATCTTCACTGACAATTTTTTTCACTTTTTTTTTTTTTTGAAATTTTACAATTCTTATGTCCAAACACCCACTTAGTATAAACAATTTATCACTAAATGACCAAACTAACCTAATCTTACAAGAATGGACATGTGATATTGGAAGGATTAACTAATTTACCATACCTAATAAATTCTAAGAAAGCAAGAGATTCAGTACATCCTTTAACATCTGGTTTACCCCTTAATAAAGGTGGAAAGAACAACCAAAAGCTGGTCAAAATTATAAATCCCAATGCTAATGGGCCTGAGATAATCCTAGGAACCAAAAATTTGCCATTCAACAATTTCTTGATCATAATTTCAAGAGTTAAAGCCACTCCATGAATGATAAAGAAGCATGTGACTTCCCAACTAGGATTTAGTCTTGATATGTAGTAAAAAATCAGCTCATGCATTAGCCCGGACACGAAAAACGTCGCGAGCACGGCAGGAAGTGGGGCCCACTTGGCAGGAATTGGGGCCCACTTCCTCGGGATCCGATCTGACATTATAAACCGGACAGGATCGTAAACGGCCGGACGAAGTATATTGGTTACCATGAGGTTCCACCTCTTACCCCAGAAATCTTGAAGTGAGCTAGTCTTGTAAGGCTCATCAAAGGGTGGCTCGAGCTCAACTCGACTCACGACTCGAACCATGGTGCTAACCGTGGTCAACATGATCTCTAGCACGAAGTAAATGTGTAGGCAATAGAAGAAGAGAATGATTTTTGGATGCAAATGGTCTTTATAGTTATACACCTTAATCAAAATGGCTAGAAGTGCAATTTTGGTAACAAGATTTAAACTTGATTTTGTGTTCTTTTGGATGGTTTTAGTTGATGATGATTGAAATTTAATAGGCAAACAAGCCAAAGGAATGAATGTTGAAAGTGGCAAAGGTGGAGTTGATGACAAAGGACCTTTACCAAAAGCAAAAAGAAGAAGCTTGAAATTGGCTAACCATGCAATGAAAAATGAAGTAGTAGAACCAAGATTAATAGAGGTAAGATAGAGAGGAAGAGTGAAAAATAGACAAACAATGGGAATTATAGCAAGAAATCTTGATTTGCCTTTGGGAAAGAATTTGGCAATTGTGTGAGAGTAACATAAAGATGTTAAAACAATAGCCCATATCACCATGAAATTGTGGATCTCCCCTTCCATTTCTCTTCTGTTTCTTCTTATTTTGGGAAGATGGCTGGATTTAAGTAGGCGTTTGGACATAAAAATTGTATTTAAAAAAAAAATATTTGGAGCTAAGTTGAAAAATGGATTTGAAATTTGAATTTATTTTTGAACATACATTTCACTTGAAAAAATATTGTATTTTTGTTAGTGGGAAAAAAAATTATTTGAAAAAAGTGGTCAAAAACACTTTTTGATTTTTGAAAAACTCATTTTCGAAAAATTTTCAAAAAACTTGCAAAATTTCATGGACAAACATATTTTTTTATGGACAAACGGGTCCTTAAAATCCCCTGTATTATTTCTGATAGAAGAATAAAAATACATGTAATGATGATTGACCTAGGGGACATCTTGAAGTGGGGTTGGGGAGGGTTCACATAATTAGATTAGTCTTCATCTGAGATATATTTAATAATTAGGACAGATATATGGCACATGATCAAGGAGATCTGGTATATATAAAGCAGATCTAGTATTTTTACACTAACAATTCAAATAATCTTCTATCAATATAATTTGTATACATTGATAATACAAAATTTTGTACAATCTTAGTGTGTATTATAATATCTTGTAGTAGGCGTCTTGTCTTATTTGCTTTTTTCTTGTGGTCCAAAATAAGTGATTTTTTTATTTTTTTCCTGCATTGCCCTTGGAGTAATTAATGTTGGAGTATATGTTAGGAGTGTGTATGTGAAGAGATAATAAAGGTTAATTTGATCAAGTTTATTGTTAATTAATGCTAAAAGGTGAATTTCTTAATGTGTGTGAAAACAACTAAAAATCACTTATTTTGAACCGAAGAAAGTAATAAATTAACAAGCAAATACATACACGATCCCTTAAAGTTGACAATATTTTTCATTTTGACACCTAAATTAGGATATTCCTTTATTAGATACTCCAACACCATTAAGGGAAATACAACCTTTTCATCATTTCAAGCCCCCCCAAAAAGTGTAAATTCGTATAATGTGCTTTGTCATTAATTTGTATTTAATAGGCACAATTTTAATGATGTTGGAGTGTCTATGGAAATAAATATTAGTCTAGGTATCAAAATAATAAATTGCAACAATTTAACTAGACACGTATGTATTTGGCCAAATTAAAATGTGTTTCTTTGTTTTCCAGCTTAAACTGGATATTATTTAAAAAAAAAAAAACAGTTTTATATGTCAGGATAGCAGTATTTTTTTATATTACAAAAATAGAATATTAAAGTAATTATATTGCTTTTGTGCGTGGGTGAAGGGTCTCTTTCAAATACATCTTCTCACCACAACTTCAAAAGATATATTTGAAAGTTCATCCAAAATTCGATATTTTAATTTTTGAGGTAAAGGTAATATACAATTCAATATTGGCAAATACAATAAGGAATGAAACTACGAAAGATACAATTTTTTTTTTTTTTTGGTTTCTCACCTAGTGTCTAATATCCGCATTGGAGCCCGACTATATCCGGATTCGCGCCACATAGGGCCTTATTCGGGGGAAGCGCTCCCTACCAAGGATTTTTGTATACCCAGGATTCTTCCAAAGTAAACATCATTTAAGGGACATTATGCTTTCCTCTTTCTAGTTTACTTTTGACATAACACAATACATGAAATGTAAGTGAATTTGTGTTGAGGGCAGTGGCGGAGGCAGAATCTCCACGAAGGGGGTTCAAAAAAAAATTATAGCTAGTGGGAATTGAACTCATGACCTTATATAAATTTTGAACCCCTTGATCACTAAACTACAATTTTGGATTGTGTTATAGGTGTTCAAAAAACTTAATATATAGAAATAAAAAACAGATTTTGCCTTATATATACAATATAATTTTTCGGCGAACACCCTTGCGCCCCCTAAATCCGCCCCTGGTTGAGGGATTATCTCAAAAATGTTAAATTCACAGCCTTTGTAACATCCTTAAAAAATGCACCAATAGCTTCGTACTCCTTAAATGCTCGAACATCAGAATTACACCTTAACAACTGAGGAAAGAACAGCCAGAAACCCGTGATCATAACAAATCCAACGGTCCAGATCGTCCCAATAATCTTTGGCAGCTTAAACCTGTCACTAATCACCTTCTTAACACAAATCTCAATGTTTAAACACATTCCATGTAGCAAAAAGAACCAGGTGATTTCCCAAGTGGGCCTAACCCGGCCCAAATAGTAAAATATCAGCTCGTGCATTAGGCCCGATACAACGAACGTTGTCATCACGGCGGGAAGTGGGGCCCACTTCCGGCCCAAAATGTTTGTAGAGAGGCTTAAAGTTGGATTGTATACCGTGGGGCGAAGGATATTAGTGACAATGAGATTCCAACGCCGGCCCCAAAAATCTTGTAGTGAGGTAGATAAATATGGTTCATTGAACTGTGGTTCGAGCTCAAGCCCGAGAAGCCCACGGGCCAAGCCCGAAACAATGGCTAGAATGATTTCTAAGCAAAGGTATATGTGGAAGCAATAAATAACCAAAATGATATAGGGATGTATGTAGTCACTGTAGTCATACACTATAATAATTAAGGCAAAAAGAAGTGCCTTTATGCCATAATTCAGAACTGACTTGGATCTTCCAGAAGACGGAAATGGCTTTTTTTGCAAATGGCCATTTTGATGACTATACTTCCCATTTTGAACACCAATACATTTTTCAGCTGATTTTTGAGACGGGGTTTCATGAAAATGATCATCTTGAAAAGGGTTAGTTTCACTTTTAGCAGCTGAGTTGAGAGCTGGTGTTTCTTGAAAATGGCCATTTTTGTCAAAATCCTTTCTTGTTTGTACACTAGAAATTTTTTCAGCTGAATTTGTTGATGGGGTTTCTTGAAAATGCCCATTTTTGTGAAAACCCTTTCTTGTTTGTATACCAGAAATTTTTTCAGCTGACTTTGTTGATGGGGTTTCTTGAAAATGCCCATTTTTGTGAAAACCCTTTCTTGTTTGTATACCAGAAATTTTTTCAGCTGACTTTGTTGATGGGGTTTCTTGAAAATGGTCATTTTTGCCAAAATCCTTTCTTGTTTGTACACCAGAAACTTTTTCAGCTGACTTTGTTGATGGGGTTTTACGAAAATGGCCATTTTGATGAAGTTTACCTCTATTAACCCCATTTTGCACATAAAATTCAGTTTTTTCTTGGGATTTTTGCTGAATCTTGATGGGGAGGCAAGCAAGGATTAGAAATTTAGTGATAGAAAGTGAAGAATCAAAAAGTGGACCTTGGTCAAAAGCAAGGAGAAGAAGCTTAAAATTACAAAGCCAAGAAATGAAAAAAGCAGTGTTACCACAGAGATGAACAGAGTTAATTTTGAGAGGGAGATATAGGAAAATACAAATCATAGGGAGAAAAGATAAGAGCCTAAATAAACCTTTTGGAATAATTTTAGTAACTAAATAACAGTAACATAGTGATGCATAAATTGATAACCATACCTTAATAAAAGTTTCAATTTCTCCTTCAATCCAATATTTGATCACATTACTTATATTTCCCTCCATATGACAACTCTGTTCTTTTGTTTATTTACTTTTTTCCCTCCTTTTATTCCTCAAAAGAAGAACAACAACAAAGGAAGAGAACAAAAGCAGAAGGAGACATAAGATAAAATTCTCTGCTCTAACTTCCTTTAATCAGTCCACAAATTAGAATATATTTAAGTAAGCCAATCGAATTTTGACACGTGTAATTGGAAGTGTTACGTATTATAATAATTTTCAATGTATGGCAGACTTCTTTGGAATTTTTTTTTCCGACCAACCTATGTTAACATTAAATTTAACTAGTCAAATTTTGTGGCTTTATGTTTATTGAATCAGAAAGCTAATTGTTACTATTTCTATATTCAGAAATTTCAAATAATGTCTCCATATATACAGAGATATAGAAAATAAAAATATAATGTTAAAATAAAAGAAAATAACAAAATAAATAATAGATATGTGCTTGGCTTTGGGCCTCAGGTTTAGGGCCGCTTATTGGGCGGATTGGACAGTTATTTACTCTTAATGGTTTGGCTTATCGATTATCGGATTTTAAATGTATTAATTCGCTAGCCACCCGATAAGGTATCAGGCGGATTGGTATCGGTTTAGCTCTTATCGGGCGGTTTATCGGCTATAT